CACCTCCCTGAAATGAGAAGGGCACCTCCCTGAAATGAGAAGGGCACCTCCCTGAAATGAGAAGGGCACCTCCCTGAAATGAGAAGGGCACCTCCCTGAAATGAGAAGGGCACCTCCCTGAAATGAGAAGGGCACCTCCCTGAAATGAGAAGGGCACCTCCCTGAAATGAGAAGGCCACCTCCCTGAAATGAGAAGGGCACCTTCCTGAAATAAGGTTTTGCAGGTTGGAATGTCTGTAATTGACAATACCCTGCCTATAAATTGATTCCCCTGTACAGTACCGGCATACAGGCCAATCAAAAAGGGGGAATATGTCAGGGTATTTCTATATAAAATTAAAAAAAAAACTGATGACTTGTACTGTACAGAAACTAAATCAAACTTTTCTATGCACTCTGTAAGACAAGGGGCCAGAAGTCTGGGCTTGACAGATAAATTAATTAACCAAAATAACCGACTGCGTACAAAACAAAGCAATGTACAAACAATACAGGAGAGAGCCTTGAACAGTCCCGGCCTTAGGGGTGTGCGAGCTGTGCGGCCGCACAGGGCGCCATGGCAACATAGGCCCCAGGCGGCCGACACAGCTCGTCCTCGGGGCAGCTTCTCTCCTCCTCACCGCTGGCCATCCGACATGACAGCGCTCCCTCGTCCGCCCCCCCACCCCCATTTCAGCGCTGTTCCACTGTTCTCAGATCCCCGCTGCCTGTATGGGTATGAGCGGAGGATCGGTAAATATCAGTGATACTTACCGGTCCTCCGTGTGAGAAGGACAAACACCGGAGCGATCGTCTGATCACTCCAGTGTTTGTAAATAACTGGGCTGGGGACACATAGTGCTATGTGTCCCCAGTTATGAATGAACAGGCTGTGATTAACTCAATGGGGAGAAGCACTCAGTACAGAGGCTCCTCCCCATTCAGAAACTGCTGATAGTAAATATCAGAATGAATGGGAAGCCTCTGTACTGAGTGCTTCCCATTCATTGAGTGCTGAGGCTGCTGAAAAAGAAATTGAGGGGGCAAATGTAGCATGCCGTCTGGTGTCTCTGCCTGACATAAAATCTGTGCACCTGTGTTCCCAACTCCGCCCACCTACTGCAGTCATCACTAAGACCCCGTTCACATACAGGTGAAACTCGAATAATTAGAATATCGTGCAAAAGTAATGGCAGTAAGTGCTGCAAAAGGGGCCCAAACCAAGTACTGAGAGGCAAATGTAGCATGCCGTCTGGTGTCTCTGCCTGACATAAAATCTGTGCACCTGTGTTCCCAACTCCGCCCACCTACTGCAGTCATCACTAAGACCCCGTTCACATACAGGTGAAACTCGAATAATTAGAATATCGTGCAAAAGTAATGGCAGTAAGTGCTGCAAAAGGGGCCCAAACCAAGTACTGAGTACATATGCATGCTTGTACTTTTCAGAGGTCCGATATTGTTCTATGTACAATCCTTGTTTTATTGATTGCATGTAATAATCTACTTTTTTGAGGTTGTGGATTTGGGGTTCTTGGGGTTTTCATGAGCTGTAAGCCATAATCATCACAATTATGACAAATCACGGCTTGAATTATCTTGCTTTGCATGTAATGAGTCTCATATATTAGTTTCACCTTTTAAGTTGCATTAGTGAAATAAATGAACTTTGCACGATATTCTAATTATTCGAGTTTCACCTGTATAGCGACATACCTTTGCAGCGGCCGGGATAGCGCGACTTTCGGGGCGACGTTCCAGCGACGGTAGCGCAACCTTCTACGTCGGGCTCCATAGAAAAAAAGCAAAATCCGCCGAAAAAAGGGTCCGGTAGAAGCGACTTGCGACCGCGACGCGCGACATGGAGTTAAGACAGCTCCATTGAATAGCATTGGCCGGCGACTTCTCGCGATATCGCGGCGGAAATCGCGCGACAATTCGCTATATGTGAACGGGGCCTAAGGGGTCTCGTTAAGGGCCCGAGTCTATGGAATTGACTTGAGACATTCAGAATCTATTGAACGGTTCCTGCATTTGACCTCCACCTGACCTGCATTTGACCTGCTTCAAGCAACTTTTGCATTCCCATAGACTTGCAAGGTAAGAGAAGTAGTTCTGATGTAGGGTCACATGGGTCCTAAAACAGCACACCTCAAGAGCCTGACATAAACGCTCTGTGCAATGCGGGGCCCGAAGTAATACAGGTGAAGGTTTTCTTGAGCATTGAGGCGCAATAACAATTCATTGGCAGTAATTTGGTTTTCTTGTCCCAATGCATACTGAGGTGTGAATGGGCCCTTAAAGCATCACTATGGTTCATAAGACACTCACAAACGTGTACAGCCTCCATTAGGTGACAAGTGGCATTGCCAAAATATAAAAGAATTAAAAGTGAACACTGGAGTGAAAAAACTGTAAAAAAAAAATTTTAAAAAGTGAACTTGGTGAAATATGGAGAATATGAGAGCGGAAGCAGAGCTCTCGCTGGGGCTGCCAATCACAATATGGCGCCGACAGGAGCTTAATGCCAACCGCATCATGGCGGCACCACTCCCATCATGGAGGCACGGAGAGCCGACTGCTATCTAGTGTCGTCATCAACTTGCGACAGTCTCTTGTTCAGCCGGTCGGTGACGTCATCGGACGGTGCCGGAGTGGATCGCACACTGCACAGAGGAGAAGGGAGATGCTGAGAGTGACGAGCTGGGCCGGAAGAGCCCTTCTGAGGGTGAGGGACACCAGTGATGTGCACTGACCTCTGACACAATGTACTGCGGGGGACCACGCTGACCCGGGACACCAGAGAGGGAGGGTACTGACCTCTGACAGTGTGTACTGCGGGGAGGGGGGTTGACATTATGTATTATAAGCGGGTAGCACTGGGGACTGCAGCAATCTTTGTCACCTAGTGACCTCTGACCCCCTGTAATGGCTCCCCATCTGCTTCCGACGCCCTGTCGCGGCACCCCAGCGACCTCTGACGCCCTGTCGCGGCACCCCGGCGACCTCTGACGCCCTGTCGCGGCACCCCGGCGACCTCTGACGCCCTGTCGCGGCACCCCAGCGACCTCTGACGCCCTGTCGCGGCACCCCAGCGACCTCTGACGCCCTGTCGCGGCACCCCAGCGACCTCTGACGCCCTGTCGCGGACTGCACCAATCTGTGACACTGTTGCATCCTTGTTAAGTCCTCCATCTTCTTCTTCATGTTGGGTTCTGTTTCACTCTCTCCTCTTCTCACCTCCGCAGGGCTCCCAGATAAACTCCACCAAAGTTTGGAACACAGAGTTTCAGCGATGCGTCTCCTCCGGTCTGCCGATGAACACGGTGGTCCTCTTCGTACCCCAGCAGGAGGCCTGGGTGGTGGAGCGTATGGGCCGCTTCCACAGGATTCTGGAGCCTGTAAGTTCTCAACACTCATCTATAGTGCTTTATTTATTTTTTTATTCTTTATTTTAAAGTTTTCAGATACATAGAACATGGTTATATAACATACATCACAGGACATTACAGTATGTAGACTATCAATAAAAGCAGAAATAATCAAACATTGGCGAGATTTTTTTTCCGTTCTTAGAGTAGTTTGTACGTGGCTCTCATATGTGTGCCAAGAAGTCATGCCATTTGTGTTCTAGGGCTAGTAAGTTTTAATGCAGATCTTAGTATATCGGCCTTGAGCCTAGAGTAGATCCCAAGTCTAAATGCCACCCTCTATCATATGTTAACCAAATGTTGGGCTATAGAAATCATATTGATAGAAACATAGAACGGTACAGGGGAAGCGAAGAGAAACAGAAGGAATCAGGTTAGGACTGGAAATGTGTGACGGTCAGACATGGATCCTGCCGGAGTCCATAGAAATGTTGGAAGTATCCTGCATCCCACCTTTGTGCCTAATGGGTGATTCAGCGTTTCAAAGGTGGTGGGCGGTTATGGTACGGTGGTTTACTCAACCATTAGCAGACCATACTCTGGGGAATAGAGGTATTCTAACCAGTAAAACCAAGTTTTACAGAATGCGCTATCCCTATCTATAGTGCTTTAGATAATTCCGATCTGAAGAAAAGGTGGAACGTTATGGAGTCCGAGTTCCTGAGATTGTTGTACAGAGCAGATACTGGCCACAGGTTTACTGTATGACTGGTAAAACTGACCTCCGGCCTCCCCTTCAGTCTTGTATCTGACCTCCGGCCTCCCCTTCAGTCTTGTATCTGACCTCCGGCCTCCCCTTCAGTCTTGTATCTGACCTCCGGCCTCCCCTTCAGTCTTGTATCTGACCTCCGGCCTCCCCTTCAGTCTTGTATCTGACCTCCGGCCTCCCCTTCAGTCTTGTATCTGACCTCCGGCCTCCCCTTCAGTCTTGTATCTGACCTCCGGCCTCCCCTTCAGTCTTGTATCTGACCTCCGGCCTCCCCTTCAGTCTTGTATCTGACCTCCGGCCTCCCCTTCAGTCTTGTATCTGACCTCCGGCCTCCCCTTCAGTCTTGTATCTGACCTCCGGCCTCCCCTTCAGTCTTGTATCTGACCTCCG